TTACTCCCAGGCTGTAGAACAAGTGTCCAGTTGCCCTCAGAGATAGCACATCGCTCATCAAAAAAGAAACCTAGCCTTTAGCTAGCAACCAGCTAATCTTCCACATGGCTGCATCTGGGCACTTTCATTCTCTCATTACTTACAGGCAGTGCAGATAGATTTTCATGATTCTTCATGGGAGTTGTTCTCTCTGCTTTGATAGCCAAAGGCTAAAGCCAAATGAACTGGTTCACAGAGAACAATAAGCAATTTTGTCCAATTCTTATTATTCTTGCTGAAATTGAAATAGTGTTATTCTGAAAGATTCTCAAAAGAGATTCACTGAAAATACCCTTGATCAAATGCACTAAGGAACAGAATGTTTCAAGTGGGCATGTCTGGCTAGAATCTCCCTGAGCAGTTTGGTAACAGCACATTAAACAATGGCTGAATTATTTTATCCCATCAGGAAAATAAAACCAATCTGAAATTTGGGAGTGTTTTGAGGGCAGATGGTAGTAGTCTAGTAGTAAACATATTTTTGGCTGCTTCCTTTTTTCCCCCTACAGTAGCTATGTTTAATGTGGGCTGCTCTGCCCCTCCCCCCCCCACCCCACAGTAGCTATGTTTAATGTGCTAAAGAGAAAGCTGTTTGTTTGCAGAATTTTATTATAGAGCAGAAATATACTTGTGCCAGAGGAGAGAAAGTATTAATTCAGGACTAAAATGGGTTATTATGAACAGGACTCATACACATTTTTCTGCTCTTGCTGCATCTATTATGCAAGACTGCATGTCCCTGTCACATTCCTCCTGATTACTTCCAGAGACTTCAGGGGTGGCTCACACGTGCTCACATACAAGTGCTTTTGGAGACCACACTATGTCTCCATTTTCTTGCTCTTTAGCTCAAGCTCCTCTCTGCTGTGATGCAAGGCCTTCACAGCTTAATATAAACTTCAACTACATCATAATCAGTATTGCTGCTCCTGCAGGCTCTGTGGCTCTTCAACAGAAGCTGTTACATTGCTGGTTCCACATATGCTCTGGTGTCTGTGAGATGGCACAGGCAGAGGGAGGCACTTCCTCCTGGTCAATGTTACATACTGTGGATTGAGCTTAATTGTCAAAAGAGTTAGGGAGCTTTTATCCATAGCTCTCTCTTCTCCTAGAACCCAGACTCTGAGATGTAGAGAAGTAGGAGGGTAGTATGTGGGTCTGGGGCCACAAGAATGTGCTTCTTGGATCTGCCTGCATAGTAATTGAGGTGGACCCTAGCTCCGAGATCATAATCATGTTTTCACAGAGGCCACACTATCCATGGCTTTCCCCAGGGAATGATTGAGTGTGGGAAGAATAGGAAGGTTGACTCACTCCTGGGAGACACAGGCCACCTCTGACAGGTGACTATGACCTGAGGTTTCCTAACAGACTTCTCAAACTTTCCTTAGAACTGAACTGCAGTCTAAGATGTTTTTACCCAACCTTCTTTTTTTCCTGTCTTTCTCTTGCTGTTTGATGACTCTCTCAGTTTCTTTCTTCTTTCCATATTTTTTACTGAGAGGCATTTCCCCTAATCTGATCTTGGCACATTTAGTCTCACAGGACCTACACTAACACAGTGAATTTGTACTATGTGTAATGGAATAACTATCTATTGCTGAAGGCTCCTAGGTCCATTTATTTATTATTTATTGATTTAAATTAGTCGCTCTGATGTTGACCTCAACTTCCCCCACTCATGTTTCCGGGCAGACTCAGACATGTCTGAATCTCAGTATGAGATATGATGAGATGGAGGCTCAAGCTGAGCCTCTTGCTATACATTGTAGAGCATCTATTATGATTCTTTGCTAGTTCAATGCACAGCTAGAGAAACAAAACAAAAACAAGAAACTGTCCCTGCCTTTGAAATTAAAATCCTGTTAGTGAGACCAAAAATCATACATGTACTGCAAGAGGTTAAAGCTACAGACAATAATCTTTAACTTTTCAAGGACATGAAGAGAACTTCAAGAAATAGGATTTTTCTCTTTCTCTGGGTTGTCCTCATGTGTTTGGAATAATTAAAGAGAAGAGCAGAAAGTTGTTTCTTCCTTTCTGAGCAGTTTCATGACCAGATGGATATGAAGATGTACAGGTGAGAAAGGCATCAGGATCATCATACCTATTGCTGAGCTGTGCTAAGAGCTCATCACCTTTCATGAAGGCCTTGCTGAATTCTCTCATTCTGTCCCAGACTTGTAGAATTCATGGACTGACACGAGGTTTCACTTTTTGCTTCCCAAAGTAAAAAGGTAGATGGAAATAAGAAATAAACTTAAGAAGCTAGTTAGCTTTTATCAGGCACAAAAGCTCAGCATTGATTCCCAAAGAGTGTATATAGTATTTTATACCTAAGAAAATATATAGTGATGAGGGTGGGGGAGAGAAATGCCAATTAGATCTTCAATACCAATGTGAATGTTGTTTTCTTGACCTTTCTTGAATGTTGATTTTTGGCCTTTGGCCAAATTCTATATTAATAGGCATAGAAATAGCATCAATGATTATTTAGTACATTCTTTTAATGGGCAGAACAGCACCTTGAAAAATAGTTGATATGGAATAAACACTGTCAAATCATGGAAATTGCTCACAGAAAGGAAAGTATCAGCACAATCAAATGAGGTTAATTGAAAGGGATGCATTTGCTTTGGCACTGAGGTTTGAAATATTATTATTCTCAGTTTCTTAAATGAGAGACAATAATGTTGATTAATAAATATGTTTTTATTGATTTTAGAGAGAGAGAAAGAGAGAGGGGGAGAGAGAGAAACATCAATCAGCAACTGGGGATTGAGCCTGCAACCTGGGCTTTTGCCCTGACAGGGAATCGAACTTGTGACCTTTATGTGCATTGGGCAACGCTCAACCAACTGAGCCACACCAGCCAGGGCTAATTTTTTTTTTAATGGACTGGTAGGTCCTCAGTGTTAAACTCTCCCTTAGGCCTTTGAGCAGTTGTCAGGTGACTCTGGGTGGCTTACGTACTTTGCTGGAGAAAGTTTGGTCAAACTAATGACTAGCTAAATTCCTAGTGTAATTCCACTCTCTCATGGCATCACTGGGCAAACCACTAATATGCAGAAGCTTCTGAAGTCTCCATCTGGGAATTTATCAATGTACTGGGCACAACAGTCCCTGTTATAACGTTGGATAAACTTAAACAGGACAACCAAATAGACAAATTGAACTGACTCCAAGTTACATTGAAATTGACCAATTCAACTAAATTGAGATTGGTGAGTTGTTTTGTGATATGTTAATATTTACCTATTGTAATTAATGTTTTCAACAGTGTAGAGCTAATTTCTATTCCGACATATACGAAATAAATGACCCGTAAACTGTATAGTATGAAAAAAAAAAAGGGGTTTTCAGGTATCAAATTCTTTAATCAAAACTATCCTGGAAATTTAATATGCAACCTTCAACATGAATAAAAATGTAACAGAAAGGTTTTCCCCCCTTTGGGTAGTGAAATAAAGGTAATTTAAATTTTCTTTATACTTTTATATTTTCATTTTTTTTTGCAATAAATATATCTTTTTAATTGGACAGAAATGATTTTGAGTGGTTACAAAAGGGACAGGTGTGGTTTGGTGGGTAGGAAAACATTCCTAGCATTTGAAACAATCTGGCAAAGGTTTGGAGGCAAAAGACGGAAATCTGACTACATTGAAGGAGTTTGCCAGATGGCAACAGATGACTGCCCATGTTCGATTTGGCTATGATTGTTACATACTATTTGTCACTTCAGCAAGCTATCTTTTTACAAGGCATGTGGCAACAGAATGTTGTTTTAAGATTACCCACCATTGGGCTTATTATATTGAAATGAAGAAATGGAATGGAAAGTCTTTCAGTAATGTCTCTGGGGAATGTGAATTTTGTTTATACCTTCTGGGAACACATTATTTTGATTGACCCTAATTGGGAATTCAGAGGGGAGATTTGCTTTATTATCTATAGAGAACTGATTTACTGAACAAACACAATTCTGGGGGATCACATTTAAAGTGCTTAATTGATGTGCCTTCATGTCTAGTCAAACACTTCAGAGGCTCCTTTTACCTCCAGACCTCTGAAATGTGGATTACAGACTCATCGTAACAGTCTAGCTTTAGTTAGTGCTTCTATTACAAAGTTACACAGTTCTATTTATTTGATATATATTCTATAACCCATATTTTTCACTAGTTTTGACCAGTTCTCCTTCTACCTCCGATCTATCCAAATGACTGAGTTTTGCTGTTTGACTTTATTGCTGTATTAGTTTACTGACAGTGATATATAAGCCATGGCTTCCACAGCTGTTTTAGATGAAACTGTTTATTAATGTGTAAGCTTGCAACATACAGCTTCGCTGGAAAGGTATGTGGAGCAGGTGACTGAGGAGATAACTTTCCCTGTTCTGACTAAAGTCAATTTTGAAGGAGCTAAAGATGCCTGTTGAATTTTGGTGTGTGTGTGTGTGTGTGTGTGTGTGTGTGTGTGTGTGTTGGGATGTGCATGGGCAATGCAAAAACTAAATAAATGGGTAGTATTCAAATAGCTAAATAAATGGGTAGTAAAATGAAGTCCCATTTTACACCCTCACATGCTGAGTATGGGAGCAGCAAAAACTGCAGCACTGGTTTGTTAACATTAGTCTATCATTCTTGGTTTATGATGTTTTAGAAACGTGTTAAAGATATTCATGAATATGTAAAATATAAATTTAAAACCTATATCAATTGTAACAAAAGTCAAATGGAAAGAAAAGATTTGAAATCCCTGGGGTGTTAATACAAATTGGCAGCCAAAGGAACAGAGTCTTCGTCAACAAATTTCCATGTCCCCCTAAACACAAATAGCCTCAAACCTTTGGAGGTTGTTCCTCTGAGATGTTTCATCTGTGACATCATAGTAATTGCCACCTCCCTGGGACTACTTTAGGCCTTGCCCAGAGTCCAAGAGTCCAGACAGCCCAGAAGACAAGCAGGTTGGAGCCTGTGTCAGAGAGAGAGAGAAAGGGAGAGAGAGGGAGAGAGGAGAAGCCTACCACAGCAGGTATGTTCTCGACCCTCTTCAGGGAACAGCAGGATTTTTATGCTGAGCATACTCTGTGTGTGTGTGTGTGTGTGTGTGTGTGTGTGTGTGTGTACAAGTTGCAAATGAGAAAAGCAGAGGAATGTTTACATTTCTTAATGAAATAGGCAATGCTTAATGTACACAGTATTTCTTAAGATATTAAGTGAGCATTATTGATTCTTGTTTTCTCTTTTTCACCTTATGATATACCTTTTTGGTTTTTATTTCATCCATATGGCAATCACTTTGGATCATATGCTGTGATCCTGACTCCAGGGAAAATTTAAAATAAAGCCAAGCCCCAGCTGAGTGGCTCAGCTGGTTGGAGCATAGGCCTATACCCCAAAAGGTTGCGGGTTTGATTCCTGGTGAGGACACATACTTAGGCTGTGGGTTCGATCCCCAGCCAAGGTGTGTACGGGAGACAACTGATGAATATTTCTCTCTCACATCGATGTTTCTCTCTCTCTAAAAATCAATTTAAAAAAAATTCACAAAAAGCCAAAATTGTCTTTGTGGCTTAACAGCAGAGAAAATGATCTGAATTTCTGCCTATAGATTGGTATACATGTGTGTGAAATTTAAGTTCACCTCCTAAAATGAGTGTGTGTTGACTGAGTTGGATTCATTAGAAATTCTCACCTTAACTCTGTGTTTTGTTCATTTAAAATATATAAACAACAAATATTTAAGTTCATCATCAAAGTGCAAGAAAAAGTAAGATGTAAATCACAGGAAATAAAGACTTGTGATGGGTAACCTTTCAATTAAGAGACTACTGAAAAAATGTGAAGAGTGCACAAAATGCACAGTTTGACAATAATCATAAGGCAAAACCTATGTAACTATCACCCAGATCATTGTCAGCACCCCAGAAGTCCATTCCTGGTCACCTCCTCCTTCCACTCCACCATGTGTAATCACAATCTTGATTGTTGAGATAATCTCGTTTATGCTTCTCTTTATATTTTTATTATATATGTCTGAATTCTTAAACAATATGATTAAGTTCTCTGTTTTTGACTCTGGATAAATGGAATCATATTTTATGTTTCTTTTGCTCAACAATTATATTTATGAGATCTAACCATTTTGTTGAGTATTGTTATAGTTCATATATTTTCTTTATTCTATAGTATTTAGGTATATAAATATACCACAATTCATCATCCAGTCTACTGTTGATAAACATTTCAGTTGTTCCCAGCTTGGGGATATTGTGAAAAACATTGCCGTGAACATCCATTTATTTTTTTCTGTTTACTTTCTACTTCAGGCAAGTGTTTGTATAAACATTTTTATTGGCAATTTCCTATATCCTTTATGTGGAGGGCCAAAAGATGGGTAAAAATTAAAAGAAAAAAGAAACATAAATCAATTATCACTGGCCATATTTTAAACCAAGATTCAACAAACTACTGGTTGACATCATCTGATTTGAACTTGTGTGTTATACTAAAAATGAAATAATATGAAAAATGATCATTCAGCTGGTTTATACAATTAATAATTTGATCCACTAATAATGCAACAAATATAGTAATTACAATTAATAATTCAGTCAGGTTAGATGGTTAAAAATACTAGTCAGGCCAAAAGCTTGCTAAGAACCCTTTTTGCTCCTTGAACTTCCGCCCTTAGCAAATAAAAAAACAAAAAACAAAACAAAACAAAAAAACACCCTTTCTTGCTAAACTTTTTCATTCTATGGGAATGTTTTGTCTTAAGAATCTAAAATATTATCTTTTGTCTTTAATTTTATTTGGTTTGCATACATGAAGTGTCAATTACGCCATATCACTGAAGGTAACATTTTAATTAACTATGTTGCATATGTTCTTGAAGTGCCATTTCCTAAGTGTACTATATGTAAAAACTATAAAGATACCGTTCCTGCTCTTTGAAGTGTTTACAATCTAGGCACATCCCAGACCAGACTAAAAATAGCCAGCACAAGCCCTCCTTGAAACAGAAGCAGCCATGAGGTTAACACTTGCTCTTTGGATTGAGTGCCTGATACGTGAATGACTTTGGGTTGATTCCAGTAGGCTCTGTGCCCAATGCAGTGCTTATAAAAGGCCAAGCAGATCTTGAAACTACCTCATGCTTTCACAGGGTTAGATGAAGACCTATAGCAGCCTGAAACCTATAAAATTTTGGTATTCTACTTCTATATGTAATTCAAAGTAAGAACAATACTAAAACATAACATTTTTTTTTTTTTCTGTTTTGGTGACTTGGCTGGCTGGCACTCTAAGTCAGCAAAGCAAGCACATGCACATACACATATGTATACACATATACACAAACACAGAAATTGGAGAGACAAAAATGTTAACATTTAAAACTTTTTTTTATCAAAAGTATCAATACAATTATTACAGGGAAAAAAATCAAGACTAAATTGGTCTTTTTGACATCAGGCAGTCTGTCTATATTAGTCAGGATTCTTTAGAGAAACAGACAAATAAGATGTGTGATATTATATATATATATGTATATATTGGATCATGTGATTTGTGGAGGCTGGCAAGTCCAAAATCTTCAGGGTAGGCCAGTAGGCTGGGAACTCAAGGAAGATTTGGCTATAATCCAAATAAATAGTCTGGAGGCTAGAAATATGAGATCAAGGTATTGAAGAGTTTATTTCCTCTGAGGTCTTTCTCCTTGGCTTGCATATGACCGTCTTCTCCCTGTCTCCACATGGTCTTCCCTATGTATATGTCTGTGTCCTAATTTCCTCTTCTAAGGGACTCAATCATGTTGGGTCTACACTCATGACCTCATTTTAACTTAATTACCTCTTGAAAGACCCTATCTCCAAACATAACCATATTCTGAGATATTGGGGGTTAGGGTTTCAATATATGAATTCTGGGGGGATATAATTTAGGCCATAACACTGTCCTCTTCTAAAGTACTTCTATTTCCTTTGAGGAAGAAATGCTCATTGACCATCCCATGTTTTCTTTGTCACTTTCTGTTAGGAGGTGAGGACAAGCAGGAGGTGTTTGGTGTGTCCACAGAAGTCTGCCTTGGGTTCTCACTGAGCCACTCTGAGAATGGATCTATCAGCTCGGGAGCTGTGTCTCAACTTCACGGTTGTCCTGATCACGGTTCTCCTTATGTGGCTCCTTGTGAGATCCTATCAATCCTGAGACAGCATGCCACTCTCCTGGGATTGACTTCAATGCTCCAGAGCTGCCTGCTGTATGCCCCGAGATCCCGCTGCTGTAATGGGATGCCTTTCTTGGCACCCCAAGGCACTTCTGGCCTTCACACACCATATCTGAGGTGCCTCCCGTGTTAGGATCAATTGTATGTTCTCTAAAGATGCTGCTCTCAAGGGCTGCTGAGTGTTTGCCAGTGAACATTAGATTTATTCCCCAACTCTTTTGGCAAAGGTGTTAGATAAGCCACAAGGTTAAAATGAAACTGGTTCATAATGACCTAGAATTATAAAAAGCCCTGAATCTGTCTCACCACACATCCCTTCAACCCACTGTCTGCAACAAAACTTTAACTCACCCCACCAGGAGAAACGGTGAAGGAAGTTTTTGTCAGCCCATCACAGCTATCATGTGAATAAAGTTAAGTGAACCACAAAAATGACTTTTAGAATTTATTTTAGTTTCCATTTGTGATACGGCATTTGATCCTTGGCTGGGATTGAAGTGACAAACGTTACAGTATTTCTAGCATTTAAGCTAAGCCAAGGTACTCCAACTGTGGGGGATTTAAAACCAAGTCAATTAGGTTTCAAATTATTTGAGTGTCACATTTCAAATAATTCCATTGGCCCAGTGCTCCTCAAACTTTCCTTCTAAACTAGTCCCAAGGGCAGATGGAGAATAAATCCATTCCTCTAGAAGGCCAGGGGCATAGCTGAAGTGTCCATTAAAAACATAAAATTCCTTCAAAGTCTTATGTGTTATCTTTCAAATTCACAAGATTCCTCTAGAAGGCCAGGGGCATAGCTGAAGTGTCCATTAAAAACATAAAATTCCTTCAAAGTCTTATGTGTTATCTTTCAAATTCACAAGAAATGTATATTCTATCTTATAATATCTCCATATTTGTTTTAATATAAGTATTTAAAATTATTTACCACTGAGTAAACGTTGAATATGAGTCATATTCCATGTTTGGTTATTCCAGTTTGGTTATTGTCATTATGCAAATAGAGCTAGTCATTAATAAACTACAGTTATAAAAAGGAAGGCAACAGAAGATACAAATTTACATGAATGTCTATAAGAGACATAAGAAGTAAACATTTCTTACACATGTTGTTAGAATACTCCACAGGGACAGAACACATTTGTTCTTTGTGCTAATTCTTGGGTAACCATGGAAAAAGGGAATGTTGTTAAACCTCATCTGTCATTGAACCCCTCATGGAAGGTATTTCTTGCTGAGAATCGGCCTATCACTGTGGCATAGCCTCCCCAGCATTGTGGTTCTCAACCCTGGCTGCACAGTTTATGCACTCAGGGGTAATTTTTTTTTTCAAAATATTTTTGCTGGGTCCCACTCAGAGTAATTAAATAAAAACTAAGGGGGTAGAGTCCAAGCATCTTCATTTTTCAAAAGTCTTCTAGATGGCCCAGCTGGGTGGCTCAGATGGTTGAACGTCATCCCGTACACCAAAAACGTGGTGGGTTGATTCCAGGTCAGGGCACATGCCTGGGTGTGGGCTTGATCCCCTCTTGGGGGTTGTGCAGTCGATTGATGTTTTTCACATCGATGTTTCTCTCTCTCCCTCTCCTTCTTCTCTCTCTAAAAATCAATTAAAAAGTTTCTTTTTCTCTATCATCTATCTATCATCTATCATCTATCTATCTTCTATCTATCTATCTATCTATCTATCTATCTATCTATCTATCATCTATCTATCTATCTAATCTATCATCTATCAATCTATAATCTATCTAGCTATAATCTATCTATCTCCTCGGGAGAAGATTAAAAAAATTCTCTAGATGATTGTATTGTGTAGCCAGAGTTGAGAGTCACTGATACCTACCAGTACTTCACAGACTTTGATGTGATTATAAATCATTAGGAAGTCTCTTTTAAGTACAGATTTGGATTCAGTTCTAATTTTGATTCTGTCTAATATGGGTCCTGAGATTCTGCTTTTAAACCAGCTTCTAAGTGATGCCAGTGGGATGGCCTCTGGTATACGCATGGTAGCACATTAGCATTACCTGGAACTCTCAGACACCCCAGCTGGAGCCCTATCCCCAAGAGTTTCTAATTTGATTGGTATGGGGGTGAATCTGAGCATTATTCCTTTTTGGAAGGACTCCAGGTAATTCTAATGTGTGGTCAGAATTAAGAACCCTGATATAGTTAAAGGGAGAAGTGTTATTATTTTGAGGGGTTCCCAGCCAAGGTTGGGAAATGGCAGCCTATGGTCTTCACTGTCTTGTTCCTAATTTTACAGTCAGGCTACACTGATAGATGTGCTGATGTTAATGGTTTAGTGTGTAGCACACCTACTCATGGGCATGTGGCTCCAGGGCCATGGCAGATGGTTACCAGTTTTTTTCTTGCTCAAAAGAACAAAAAACAAAACAAAACAAACAAAGAAACAAACAAACAAAAAAAACAAAACAAAAAGCAAGCAAACAAAACAATCCTGAGAAAATGTTTTGTATAAAGGTAGGGAGGGAAATGAACAAAACAAGTGACATCCCATTCGCCTACGTCTGAGTCCTGGTGCTAACATTTGCAACAGGTAGCATTTATTGAACATACTGCATGTGAAGCCCTGTGTGAGGCACTTTCTGTACATTGTGCCATTTAGCCAATATAGAAACTGAGAATCATAGCTCTCATGTACATAACCAAATGTACATGGTGAAACTAGCATGGCAAATGTATCATCTTAATCTCTGCGGGAACTGCCTACAAATGATCTCCAAATCATCTAATTATGGGTTTTTATCTTCCCATTTGTTCACATTCTAAAATAGCCTAATTAAAGGTAACTGTGTTACATAACTGTCTTACATAAAATTCTTTATGTAATTTATTTTTGCTGGTCAGTCCTCACCTCCTTTTTCCTGTTGTTCTCTTCCTAATGTCCTGTGATGGGACCTACTGATAGGACCCATTTGCTGCCTCATTTCTTCCACATTCAGGAGTCCCACTCATTATGGCTAAATTCCATTCTGACTTATAAATTTCCTTTTATGTATAACCTGGGACCTCAGGGACCAGCATGAAGGAAGATCCAAGGTCGAAGAACACGACAAATTTAGGAAACTAAAAACATCTGTATAGCTGAAGCATGGAGTGATTCTCCAGCTACCGGAAGAGTCATGCCTCATAAAGGCAGAGTTCAAGATTCCGACAGCATCTGTCTGATATCACAGTTGGATTATCTCTGGGATCCCTCACTGGAATGTCTCACTCACTGGTAGGGTCCTCCTGCCATTAACAATTATCCAAAAAACATCTGTGCTTGCACAGAGCTTAGACACTGTGCCTTAGAACACCTGGGCACCTTTATCCATAGTAGCCAGGTTGGTTCTTTCCACTTACCATGTCACCCTTTGAGTTGCTCTCTGCTGAGTGATGGTCTCTTTATGCCATAAGCCCTGGGCTTCTGAAATCCTAGCACATCTTAAAGTTTTACTATTCATATTACAATGCCAGAAGACATTTGAATTTAAAAAAAAAAGGTTATCTTGTAGTTCTGGCTTAGGCTTTTCTCCCAATCTTCCCTCAACTCACTACTAAATTGGATATCCTTTGGAACAACTTATTTTTATCTAACTATTTTATTACACTGAGAAAACACACAATGTTTTATCAGTTTCTGGCAGTCCTAACACCATATCTGGTCACCAACTCCCTTACCAAGGACAGCCATATAGTTGGTCTTATAGGCATAAGAAATTATCCAGATAATTCAGGCCCAAGCCATGGCTATAAGAAAAGAGCCTCCAAGTACTTCAACCACTCAGCTTCTGTAACTATATTTCCCTTTTTGCTCCAGTGACCCAGACAAGGGTATGTGAAAATTGTCATAAGATGGTAGCGCTTCCACTGTTTTAATTTGGGGTTGTCAATCAATCTAGAAGGCATCTCAAGGCATATCCCTCTTTTCACTTCTATTATTTTCTTATTGCTTAGCTGTGCCTCTTGTTCCTCTGAGATAGAATTCTGTCTGTCATTCTCACCTGCATCTGGGCACATGATCCATGCCATCCTTGTACGGGATCCCAGAGCTGGCAAGGTGTGTCTGTTATCATCTTGAAGTTCCACTACCCAGACTCCTGTCTTGAATGCATAAAATATCCAGAAAGTATTTACAGGCAAAATATACTAAATCGACCCCGTTTCCTTTTCCTCTGAATATCATTCTTCTAGATATTTTCCTGCTTTCAGAATGTCTTTTAAAATAATTTTGGCAGAGAAGGCCTTAGCCAATCCATGTCTAGTGGTAGTGTCTCTTCTGTTGACTGGTCCCCTACTCCAACCCCTTCTTTACAACCATTTCCTACTGTTTGTCATATTTAAGTGTGCCATACTGTGCCCTTTGCCAGAACTTTCCTCTCTTTCTTTTCCTAGCTAATTCATTTGTCAAGATTTCCATTCGGTGTTGTTACCTGTCAGAAGTTATCCCCAGACAATCCCCTTCTCTGAGCCTCATGCCTGCATGTTCACAGCACTAGTCACATTGGTGGTTCGTTTTTGTGTCTCTCCCTCATTTGTTTCTTGTCTACAGGGACTTTCTTCAATGTCAAATTTTAATTCCTAGCTGGTCCATCATCATCACTAGATAAGTTTCTCCTAAACACATCAATAAATACTTGACTATATATATGTTTGGAATAGATATGTACTCATTCTTATGATTAGGTACATGACCTGTGCTCACCACAGCGTAATAAAGAGGGGACATGAAATCTGTAGTTCTCAAAGTTCCATTACATTAATGAGCAAACCAAACTCCTTATAAACTTTAGGCAGTAGAAATAGTTTCCCCAAATGTAGTTTGCATCTTTATAAAATCAACACATAGCTGACTTATTTTTTTCTTTTTCTTTTTTTTTATCCTCACCCGAGGATATTTTTGCATGTATCTTCAGATAGAGAGGGAGGAAGAGATGGAGGAAGAGAAAGAGAAACATCGATGTGAGAGAGACACATCAAGTGGATGCCACCCACACAACCCCAACTGGGGCCGGAGACAAACTGTAACTGAGGTACGTGCTCTTAGAGGGAACTGAACGGGGGACTCTCTGGTCCACGGGCCAAGGCTCTAATCGCTGAGCCAAACCTGCCAGGGCATAGCTGACTTCTTTTATCTCTCTCTATCACCACCCTGAATAGTTTGACAATGTTTATGAATGATTCATCAAAGCCCAATGTGTTACGAATATTTTTGTTTGTTTACAACCAAAGTGATACTGGAGAAAGTTCCATTTTCAAGCTGCTTGAAGTTAGGGTTAAACTCCATTTATAAAAAGAATATTTAAACAAACGTTATTGCACACTTACTGTGTTAGAAACTTATTTTATTTAATTATCTTTTATCTTTGGAAGTGATTTATTTTTATTCAGACCTTAA